TTGGAAGGGAAGACAGGCCATAATAGGCTCAAGGGGCAGGAGGGAAGGCCCTTTATTTTTATTTTTTAAAAAAATACTTATTTATTTTTAGTTTTCAACATTCATTTCCATAAACTTTTGAGTTCTATTTTTTTCTTCCTTTCCCTGCCCTTCCCCCTCTCCAAGATGGCGTGCAATCTGATATAGGCTATACATATGCATTTATATTAAACATATTTTCATATTAGTCTTGCTGTAGAGAAGAATTATAACCAATGGGAAAAATCACGAGAAAGAAGAAAGAAAAAAAAAAGAGAAAGAGAGCAAACAGTATGCTTTGATCTACATTCAGACTCCATAGTTCTTTTCCTGGATGTGGATAGCAATTTCCACCATGAGTCTTTTGGAGTTGTCTTAGATTGTAAAGGTCTTTTATTTCATATATTGCAGGTAGTTGCCTACGTTGTTTACATGTAGGAATAGATATGCAGTTGTTCTTTGCTATTGTAATTTTGGAATTTAGATTATTACAGAACAAAGATCTTAGCTATTGAACCAAAAGATTTTTCCCCCCCAAAGCATTGTCACAGGATAGACACAAACTGTGATTTCTACCCTCCTGTGGAGGATTGTGTGTACTACAGCTAGACAGCAAAGGTGGGAGTTTTAACCAGGTTGGTTGCAGATTGGCACATGCAGATTTAGAGCTAAACGTGATCTTAGAGGTCATTTAATTAACTCTCTCATTAAATGGCTTGTATGACTGTATCCTACCGAAAAACCTTCTTAAAAATTGGAGTTGAAAAACTGATGGTGCATAAAAGGAGTCTTAAGATGTTTGAAAAGCAGGTTTGGTTCTCTGAGTGCAGGCCTGCCACATCAAACATTCAAAAGCACCCTTGGGCAATGAGTGATCCATTCAAACAAACAAGACTCTGACCACAAAGAGGACTCCAACTCTGAGTCCTGCTTTCTGTGTACCAAACTTGAAATGTGAATCATCTGAGGCAGAGCTAGTTCTGTTTTTGTGATTATTCATCCCTCTCCTGAAAAGGCACTGGTCTGAATGTTTGTCCAGATAATATTTCTCTCATGATTCAATTAGAACCTGGTCTACCAATAAATTTATTATTGTTAGTATTCCTCTACTTATTGGTGACTTTTAGGTTTTTCTAATGCTCCTTTTTGATCTTTTAGACCATAGTATGGTGAATTGTCCACTGGCCACCATGTTATTAGCTCTGCACTGAGTTCAACTGATATTAGTTTTAGGGATGCCTAAGAACCAATTAAATAGCAGATTTTTCTATCATGGTAAAGAAAAAAGACTCAATAGTGGGTTTTTTTTTAAATCTAGAGCGAGAAAGTGTGACATTTTTAAACACTAGAGAGCATAGGAATAAATGGAGTCTTCCTTAAAATAATAAGTAGCATCTACGTAAAACCTTCAGCAAGCATCATATGTAATGGGGACAAACTAGAAGCATTTCTGATAAGATCAGGAGTGAAACAAGGATATCCATTATCAATATTGTTGTTCAATATCGTACTCTAAACATTAGCTTTAGCAATAAAAGAAGAAAAAGAAATTGAAGGTATTAGAATAGGCAGAGCAAACAAAGCTTTCACTCTTTGCAGATGATATGATGATATACTTAGAGAATCTTAGAGAATCAAGTAAAAAACTACTTGAAATAATAAACAACTTTAGCAAAGCTGTGGGCTATAAAATAAACTCACATAAATCATTAGCATTTCTATATATTACCAACAAAGCTCAACAGCAAGAGATAGAAAGAGAAATTCCATTTAAAGATACTGTAGACATTATAAAATATTTAGGAGTCTGCCTACCGAAACAAACCCAGGAACTATATGAACATAATTACAAAACACTTTTCACACAAATAAAGTCAGATCTAAATAATTGGAAAAACATCAGTTGCTCATGGGTAGGCTGAACTAATATAATAAAAATGACCATTCAACATAAGCTAATTTACTTATTCAGTGTCATACCAATCAAACTACCAAAAATTATTTTATAGAGCTAGAAAAAATAATAACAAGATTCATTTGGAATAACGAAAGGTCCAGAATCAAGGGAACTAATGAAAAGAAATTCAGGGGGAAAGTGGCTTAGTCTTTCCAGATCTTAAATTGTATTATAAAGCAGCAATCATCAAAACTACTTGGTACTGGCTAAGAAATAGAGTGGTGGATTAATAGAATAGGTTAGGTATGCAAGACACAGTAGCCAATGACTGTGGTAATCTACTATTTGATAAACCCAAAGATCCCAGCTTCTGGGATAAGAACTCACTATTTGACAAAAACTGCTGAGAAAACTGGAAAAGAGTATGGCAGAAACTAAGCATAGACCAAAATCTCACACCACATACCAAAATAAAGTCAAAATGGGTTCATGATTTAGATATAAAGGCTGATACTATAAGCAAACTGGGAGAACAAGGAATAGTTTACCTATCAGATTTATGGAAAACAGAAGAATTAATGACCAAACAAAAGATAGAGAACATTATGAAATGCAAAATGGATAATTTTGATTACATTGAATTGAAAAGTTTTTGCACAAAGACAATGCAACCAAAATTAGAAGGAAAGTAGAAAATTGGGAAAGAATTTTTATAACCAGTTCTCTGATAAGGGCTTTATTTCTAAAATATATAGAGAATTAAGTTAAATTTATAAGAATACAAGTCATTCCCCTATTGATAAATGGTCAAAGGATATGAGTAAAAAGTTTTCAGATGAAGAAATTAAAGCCATCTATAGTCATATGAAAAAATGCTATGTATCACTTTTGATTAGAGAAATGCAAATCAAAACAACTCTGAGGTACAACATCACACCTATCATAAGGGCCAACATGACAAAACAGGAAAATGATAAATGTTGGAGAAGATGTGGGAAAATTGGAACACTAATGCATTATTGTTGGAGTTGTGAAATGATCCAACCATTTTGGAGAGCAATTTGGAACTATGCCCAAAGGACTATAAAAATGTGCATGCCCTTTTTTTTTTTTTTTGGTGAGGCAATTGGGGTTAAGTGAATTGCCCAAGGTCACACAGCTAGTACGTGTCAAGTGTTTGGTCTGAGGCTGGATTTGAAATCAGGTCCTCCTGACTTGAGGGCCGGTGCTCTATCCACTGCACCACCTAGCTGCCCTGAAATGTGCATGCCCTTTGGCCCAGCAATAGCACTTCTAGGGCTGTATCCCAAAGAGATCATATAAATGGGAAAAAGACCCACATGTACAAAAATATTTATAGCAACTATTTTTGTGGTAGCAAAGAATTGGAAATTGAGAGGATGCCCATCAATTGGGGAATGGCTGAGCAAGTTGTAGTATATGAATGTAATGGAATACTATTGTGCTGTAAGAAATGATGAGCAGGCAGACTTCAGAAAAACCTGGAAAGACTTGTATGAACTGGTACTGAGTGGAGTGAGCAGAAACAGGAGAACATTGTACACAGTAACAGCCATGTTGTATGATAACTAATCTTGATAGACTTAACCCTTCTCAGCAATGCAAAGGTCTCATAATTGAAAATGCTATACACATTCAAAGAAAGAACTAGGGAGCTTGAATGCAGATCGAAGTATACTATTTGCTATATTTTTCTTCTGTTTTGTTTTATTTTCTCTTTCTTGTGGTTCCTCCTATTGGTTCTAATTCTTCATTACAACATCACTAATGTGAAAATATGTTTAATAGGAATGTATATGTATAGCCTATATCAGATTGCATGCCATCTTGGGGAGAAAGATGTGGAGTGAGGGGGAGAAAAATTTAAAACTCAAAAGCTTATGGAATTGATTGTTGATAAATCAAAATAAATTTTAAAATAAGAAAGTGTGACAGTTTTTAATCTCATTCATTATAGGCCTTCTAGATTACTAGGCCTAGATCTGTAGAGCAGAGAAAGTATAAAACACAGTATAAGGCACTATATAAATATGGGTGGATTGACTTATTTTTCTCACTTATACTTCTTGTTATGCAAGAGAAAGAAATGTTCTTAGGACTTTTCTGGGGATCTTATATGAATTTTAGCTTTTAAAGCACTAAGATTCAGCAGAATCTATTTTATAAAAGGAAAGGAAAAAAACACTTTCCAGTGACAGTAGCCTTTAGGAGGTAGAATAGATTGGAGAAGCAAAGGAAATAAAGTAGATATCCATAGATTCATGAATGGCTGAACAAAGTGTGGTGTTGGATGTGATTCAGGGTTTCTTAACCTTTTTTTGTATTATGGACCCTTTGACTGTCTCTAGTGAAACCTATGGACCCTGTTAAGAATAATGTTTTTAAATGCATATAACAAAATACATGGGACTACATAGGAAACTAATTCAATGGAAATAGTTATCAATATGTATCTAAATATTTATATATACACACATATGTATATATGTGTATATGTGTGATTGTGTATATATATGTGTGTATATATGTATGTATATATTTGTGTGTGTGTATATGTATGTATGTATGTATGTATGTATATATTTAAAGCCACAAGTTTGTGGGCCACAATTTGAGAACTATGATGTAGTGGAATATTATTGTGTAGTATGAAGTGATGAAGGAATGAAAAGTGATGGATTTGCAGATAAGTTTTTTTTTGTTTTTTGGGGAGAAAGACATTAATAACTTGGAAGATCAGGATATCTTTCATATGGGAAGTGACTCTTGAGCTTAGGCTTGCAGGGTAATGGTGTTTCTAAAAGGTGGAGGGGAGTTTGAGAGTGTTCTCCAGGCATGGTGGACTGTATTAAGTCCTATTCCTAGCTCCTAATAATTGACTTCTTTCCCATATGATATATCCCAATATGTGAAGTATTGAATAGTGAGCCCTTAGTGGATATTAACTGACTTTCTCTACCTGTAGCATGTTTTAATGTCTGAAGACCAACTCAGGAGAGTTAGGGCCATTAGAAATGAAGGCCATGAGCATACTTTGACACCTTTGTTCTGTTTTGTCATACAGCCCCTTATGAGCTCATGACCACCTGTGCAGAAGAATAGGCCCCTTGGGGCTCCAGGAATATTTCCCGGAATTCAGCCAAAATCATGAACACAAGGCTCTATCTCTTTGAAAAAAGGTCCAATAGATAGACCAAGTTAGCAACGAAGGTAAGCCAAATATTCTCCTCTTATTCTCCTCCCCCCACCCCAAGCCCCTTCCCAACCATTCACTTAAAGATCTCAAATTATATGTCTGATATAGTATCATATAACATTACTTACACACCATTCACTGCCTGAGACCCTCTGGGAAGAGAAGAAAATTGGTGAAATAACATTATTGACATAGGTCAGTGACAGGACCTTTCCCATACAAAAAGGGAAAGCTGGGAAGCCACTGGTATGACCTCCTCCTCCACTGATTTGACATTGGTGGTTTGCTTTTATCCTCTACTCTGGTCTAACACTATCTTTCATTAATTTTACATTAACTAATTTTATAATTTAACTTATATAAGTTTTGTGCACAGACCTCATTTTGCCTTTCTAAGTATGGACGCAGATTTACCATCAAACCACTTATAAAGGTGTTTATCAAATGCAGGGTTTGGAAATGGGTAGTTATTTTCATTAATTCTTTTTCATTCTAGTAAACAATCCTATGAACCTAGAATAAATATCAATAATTCAAGGACAGGCTTTACAGAGGCATAAAAGTACATGTATTATGTCTAAAGAACAGAAAGTGGGTGAATTTGGCTGGATAAAATGCACGAAGGGGAGAAATATGCAATAAAACTGGAAAGGTAGACAGAAGCCACACTCTGAAAGGCTTTAAATACCAAACGGGAATTTTCAACTAGAGGCAATAGGGAGCCACTGGGACCTCTTGATCAGAGCAGTGACATGATTGGTACTGTGTTTTAGGAATATCATTTTGTGGGAGATAAGTTGGAGAATGGAAAGATTGGATGCAAGAAGATAAATTAGTATTACTAAAACTAGGATGGTATTCATGGGAGTAGAGTGAAAGGTATACTTTCCAAAAGGTTAGCCATCAGGTAATTTTTTTTGTCCACAAAAACTCATTAAGCCATGTACCAAGGCACAGAAGGGTTGTAATCCACATTGGTGTGGAGAGGTAGGTCCTGTTGAAAGAGTGCTGGGTCTAGAGTCAGAACACCTAGCTTTGAGTTTAGATCTTCTACTTATTGCTTCTATGACCTATTGACAGGTTATGAAAACTTTCTTGACCTCAGGTTTTTCATCTGTAAAATGAAAGAGTTGGACTAACTGGCCCTGGGGGTTCATTTTTGCTCAAAATGCTGTCTGATATTTTCTTTGGTCCTCTTCAGTAACTCCCATTATTACTATATCTTACGAACATGACTTTGGTCATACAGGCAGGTTAACTCCTTGACTGCTTTCCAATTTAAATACTTTTAATTGGTTGCCTCATAGCCATCCCTTTTCTCCACTCACTTGGACCTCACTATAGTCCTTATCACTTCATACCTAGAATATAGCCTTCTAATTGAATTCTCTGTCTTTATTTTCTCACCTCTCCAATCCATCTTCTGCATAGCTGCCAAAACATTCTTTCTCAAGCACAGTTTTGACACTATCATCTCGTCCTCCAATCAAGAATATTCAGTGAATCCCTATTTCTCCTAAGATAAAATTCAAAGCCCTCAACTTTCCATTTGAATTCCTTCACAGTTTGGTTCCAACCCACATTTCTAAATTTATTTTATAATTCCCTCCTTTATGCATACTATAATCCAGCACACCAGGTTTGTTTCCTATTCTCCAAATATTTCTTCTTCTAACTCTATGCTTTGCATTGCCTATTTTTTCTGTGTCCAAAATGTATTCTTTTCTTCCTTTTGCCTCTTGAAATGCTTAGCTTCAAGGTACAATCCAGTGCCATCTTCTATGGGAAACCTTTACTAGCACTGTTCATTCTCTCTCTCTGTCTCTCTCTGTCTCTCTCTTCTCTCTCTCTCTTTCTCTCTCTCTCTCCTTCTTCCTACCCCCCACCTAGTGAAAACCTTTGAAATTAAGCCAGAATGGTTTTCCAATGAAAGAATAAATAGTCCTGATTATGAATTACTAAAAAATGTTAACCCACTAAATTATACAAAAGCAATTAGATTCCTAATTGTAAAGCCCAAGATGAGTGTCTATTATAGCACAGAAAACTTAAAAAATCTCTAGGTTGAACAAACTGTCAAAGAGCAAAGCAACTGTGAATTTTAGAATCAATGCTAATTCAAAAGGGCCTTTTTGGGGGGAGGAGGAAGGATGAGGGAGGTAGATATTTTGCTAGTACAGAAGATTTTGTGTACAATATCTGTTGAAAATATAGATTCTTTTTGGAGTGATGTTGTTGCAGTGAAAAAAAAATTAAAAAATTCTGGATCTGGAGTCAGGAGGCCTGAATTACAATCATCTATTATCTGGGTGACCACTGGCAATTCATTTAACTTTTCTGAGCATCAGTTCCTGCATATGAGAAATAGGGAAAATAATATTATATTTATATTGCTTACCTTATAAGGTTTTGAGCTTTGTAAATATTATAAGCCCAGAGAATGTGAGCTTCAATTACTTATAATTTGTATTTATATTTTATTGATGTCAGAAATTCTGGAGACATTGATCTTAATGGCATTTTAAATTCAATGACATAGGTTCAAAATGTTGCATCAAGGTCTGAACCAAGATGGTAAATGCGCAGAGTTTTATAATGTTATTATTTTGTTTTTTAGAAGGATAGAGAATTCTGGGCATCTGATGGCTTTGATTCTCCTATGAGGTAATTGCATTATTAATACTTATACACTCCTTACCTTCAAAGGGGTGGCATGAAGATTAACATAATATTCTATGTGAAATTCTTTGCATTCCTTAAAAGCATATAAATCCAACTTATATGATACCTTTGTAGCCATAATAGTTAGGCAGTCTATTTACTGTAGTTGTAATAACTATGGTCCAGTTTTCTTATGTACTAAATGGTCAGTGTTGACCTTCATGGAGCAGTGATGAAGACCGGGTCTAAGTTTACCACTGTAAAGTACTAGGAGCTAATATCTAAAGGTTCTGAGGCAAAATCTTAAATATTTTTTCTTTGAATAAGTTAATCTAGATTTTTGTATCTGGTATGCCAGTAAATCTAGATTCTGTGATTTAATAGGAGTTTGTTTCCCATACTCTGAATAAGAATGTACAAGCAGAGTCCCAAACAAAGTTTCATCTTCCCAGAAGCTGCTAAAGGATCTCTTCAATATATCTTCTACAAATATATTTTATCTATATCTATATACACACACATATAGACATACACATATACATATATGTATACATACACAAACATAGACATACAAATATATCTATACATACACATACATATATGTATGGCTATATGTGTTATTATATTTGAAGATGTTCTAATACTCTACAGTGTGTGCTTACATATAAAACTGTCAGAGGAAGTATAAAACTCCAAATATCTGGCTAAAAAAAGTATACACTACTTTCTGGTCCCCTTCCATGAGCCCAAATGGATCCATGTAGCCATCTTTTCCTGAGATACCATCAAGAGTATGTCGGAGCCAGCTCCAACCAACTCAGGAGAGTCAATTGCCGAATGAACAGCATGAGTGGTGAAAGGTTACAAATTGGGGCTTAATTTATTGTTTTTTTAATTGTCTAGACTTAAGAAACGGTTGGAGAAAATGTTAATGATGCAGATTAAACTTAAAACTGAGTCTCACACGTCATTTTTTGTTGTTGTAGTTGTTGTCGTTGTTGTGTCGGAGACCTTGATGTTAAACATTTTCCAGCACACCCCTAAGAATGGTGTTCTCTCATTGCAACAATGAGTCTATAACTCCATCTTTCCATACGGGTGAAAATAGCTTTCTCTATGTTTTCATCAATTGAATTCAATAAACATTTATTAAGCATCAACTGTGTACCAGGTACTGTGCTAGGTAACAGAGATATAAAGACAAAAAAAAGGAAATAGTTCTTTTCTTCAAGAAGCTTACATTCTACTTGGAGAAAACCACATACACATAGATGAGTAAATAAAAATAGAAAAACAAAAGCAAAGTAGTGGGAGGGGTAGGTAGGAAAGTATTTTCTCTGGCTACAGTAGACATGTTTGGGAGTGGATAAGAAGGTAATGGTGAAAGAGTTCCTCAAATAAAAAAAAATAGAATGATTATAGATTTGACGTTGAATTAATTGCCACATTAAACAAATGAAAAGGGATATTTGAACTTCTTATCAGTAGATAACAAAGGTGTCAGGTTGTCCAAGTTTCTTGACTAGTTTCAACTGTAGCTACTCCATGGTAGAGTATTGTAATAATTCCAAATGACCCTTCATCTGTTCTATTTATATGCCATATGTGTTTGTACAGCAAACAAAACACCGATAAGATACAGAGGGAAGAACAAATGAATTTCATGCACACCTAATAAATTCCATTTACTGAAAGTCACATTTTTTAGACTTACTCCAAACCATTTTTTGTTCCTATACTCTTTCTCATGCTACCTAGTCAATATGCAATATGGAAAGGAATAATTTCTAGAGTTTATTATGCATAATCATCTAAAAAATAAAATAAAATGTTTAATTTTTCATAAAGAAAACTTTATTTAATACATAACAATTTTTTTTAGTATCATGGGGATAGGAAAGAAGAAAATACTGGGATATGATTCTCCAAGGGTATGCCAAAAATTTTGTGACCTCATTTATTGTCAGAGGCAGCTAGGTGTTGGGCCTAGAGTCAGGAAGACTGAAGTTCAAATCCAGGCTCAGACACCTAATATTTGTGTGACTTAACCTGAGTTTCTTCAAAAGTAAAAAAAGATGATCATAATAGCATCCACTTTGCAGGGTTGCTGTGATGAGGTGAGATAATATTTTTGAAGTATTTAGACAGTACATGGCGTATAGTAGGTGCTTAATAAATAATTGTTCTCCTTTCCTTATACCCTTACCCTTAAAACCTTAAATGTGAGAAGTGATCTTTTCACATCAAAGTTCAAGGTCATGAAAGAGATTGCTTTGTTTTTATTACTTTTGTTTGCCCAATAATGGCTACTGATCTGCTTGATTCTTCTCTCTTGTGCTACTGCAAGACAGAATTCTATCCCTGGCTGCAACAAAGAGAATGCCCTTTCTCAATCTCCCTCCCCGATTCTCTGCTCAAACCAGGTTCATGGACAATACAATATGAGGCCACTTTCTGATTTGCATGTCAGAAGGAGAATTGAGTTCATTATTATGTGAAATAGTTATTGGACATGAATAGTGTGATTAATTATACATAATGAGAAAAGATAATTAAACACAATTCCCTGAATTCATAGAAGATAAGGAGGATGGATATAGCAGAGGAAATATGTGCATGAAAATAATCCAGAATTTATCTCCCCTGCACTACTGAATTAATCTATTCACTCATCCAGTAATAGAGAAGAATATATCACCAATGTATTTCCAACTTCAATTAGTTATCGTGCCTTCCCTCTGTTACTAATTCTCTATGTATACTGTGTATAGCTTGGTATGTATATGTGAGTGTGTGTGTGTGTGTGTGTGTATAATTTGTTTGCATATTGTTTCCAGCAGTAAATTGTAAGCTCCTTGAAGGCAGGCTCTATCTTTTGCCCCTTTTTGCGTCCCCAGGGTTTAGCACAGTGCCTGGAACATAGAGGGCACTTAATAAATGCTCATAGATTGATCAATTGATTTGTTAAAGGTTGTAACAACCATTCATAGGGACATAGATTTGGAGCTGAAAGGGACCTTAGAGGGCACCTTGTCTAACCCCTTCATTTTATAGATAAGGAACCATAGGTCTAAGGAGATTAAATCACATGCCCAAGGACACACAAGTGGTAAGAAAATTTGAACCCAGATTCTCTGACTCTTAAGCCAACATTCATTTCACTGGGTCTCTGGAATACACACACACACACACACACACACACACACACACACACACACATGCGTACACATACATATATAATTTTAGAAATATTTAACTACTGACTTCTTATATATAGAAGGAAGGCAAATAGAACTTTGCCTCAGGCGATAAAACTTTGAGGGTGATAAGCCATATGAGGTAGCTATAGAATCAACTGAGCTTACCTTCTATATGTCAAGGATAGTTGGAATAAGGAATTACTGAATGATCTGCTTCTGCCTTTCTCCCTATACCCTAGCAATTTCTATCTCAGGTGTATTCTTCCTTTGCCTGGTTCCCTTTCATGTCCTTCTGTCCTTGACCCTCAACTCTTTCCAAGCAGTAGCCTCTCCAGCAGTAGAGGCTCTCTACCCACTTTGCCATCTCAGGACCTGATTCAAATGAATTCTGAAGGTATGCTTTGTGCTTTTTAGGGCCAGGCACATTTTGACCTGTTTGTCCAGCATGCAGAAATATGCCCATGGGTCTGCTTCTGAGATCCCTGTGATGTGCCATCACTGTGAATCCCATTACTGGAGATATGAAGGAAAGATTTGGAATTGAATGAGTTAGAGTTGGTTTTGTTTTGTTTATTAATTTATTGGGGTTCCTGAAGTACAACATGCTCTCAATAAATACAGCAGCATCAGAGTAAGAATTCTCTTGCTGTGGCAATCGAAGTGTGTCGTAGAGCACGCCATCATACCATGAGTTTAAAAACATGACAGGCTTTGGAGTAATAAAAAAAAATGTAATGAAGACATTTCATTATGGGACTCCGGGAGCCATGCAACCATTTCTTTGAATTATGGAATCAATGGTGGATCTGACACTTTGTGATGAAAACACTAAAACCCTGCAGCTGGTTACTAGTTGGTAGGACATAGGCATACTGTGTAATTAATAAAGATGGGTCATTACAGAAACCAGAAAATACAATTAAATCAACTGCACATACAGATTTTCCACTGAAGGGTGAATCTTGTGTTGCAAGGGCTGAAATATTAAAAAAACAAACTTGCTTTGGACTAAAATAACATGTTTTCATAGTTATAGATTGAGATTTTATTTGTTCTCTCATCTTCGATAGTAACCCTATTCACTGCCTTAAATTAGAGAAATATTGGCACAGGCTTTAGTGCAAGCTTGACCATGAGCACAGACTTGAGTATGTAATGAAACTGTGCTACTGATAAATGTTAAATGCAAATGCAGACAAAAAACAAAGCATTGTTATTGGACTTCTTCTTGCTATTAACACCCACTCTCTTCAGTACATCAATTCTCCTTCACTGGCAGATCATAGTATGACAGAAGCATAGAGTTTGAGTTAGAAGGGACTCCATAGGCCATTCAGTCTCACTTTTAATTTTAGGGATGGGAAAACTGAGGCCCAGGGGTGTTTCTAACTGATTTCTCAAATGGGTTTAAGAGTCAATCTCTCAGGACGGGTCTGAATTTTTCCTGTATGTATCGTTTGTCCATAACTGTTTTTATGTTATATCCTCAATTAGATATGGGGCTCCCCAAGAGCTTTTGTTGGTATCCACTGTGCTTAGCACGGGTGCCGGCACAAAGTAGGCACTTAACAGATGCTTATTGACCAGTTTACCAACTTTGTTGTTGTTCAGTTATGTCTGATTCTTTGTGACCCCCTGGACCATAGCACACCAGGCCCTTCTATCTTCCATTATCTCTTGAAATCTGTCCAAGTTTATGTTCCTTATTTCCATGATACCATCTATTCATTTCATCCTCTGCTTTCTCTTTTTCCTTTTTCTTTCTTCCTTCAATCTTTCCCCAAATCAGTGTCTTTTCTAATG